AATGTTAATTTGATTAACTATTACTCAATTCTAGTTTGTTCAATTTAATAAATAATATTGCTTGTGATCTGTTGCCACAATTTTGTTGATTACATAAAGCATATTTATTTTTACAGTGTATATATATATACACACACTGAAAAAAATAATATGCTTTATCTAATCAATACAATTGTGGCAAGTTGCAACATATTACAAGTAATATTATTAATTAAATTGTACAAATTAGAATTAATTGGAATGTTAATTTGATTAACTATTACTCAATTCTAATTTGTTCAATTTAATAAATAATATTGTTTGTGATCTGTTGCCACAATTTTATTGATTAGGTAAAGCAAAAATTCATTTTTACAGTGTAGGCTATGTGTATATATATATATATATATATATATATATATATATTTAACAAAGCATTTATTTAATCAAGCGCCATAATTGGCTTGTTTTGATATTGTGGGATCTGTGACGTCACAAAGGAAAATACATTTACATACGACAAATAGTTATAAGTGAACCTCAAATTAACCAACATATTAAAATGACAAAAAAATCGATGTCATGACCCCTTTAACAATTAAGAAACAGAATAAATGGCTTTAATCAAATACTAAGAACACCAATTACTGATGTGACAACTGACTGAAATCATATCATACAAACATCTAATAAAGAAAACATCTCAAAATCTCTTGAATAATGTGTGTATATACTGTATAAAATGCAAAATTACGTTTTGTGGCTGATAATTGAATTGAATTGAATTCTTTATTGTCATTGTACAAGGTACAACGAAATTGGATGACATTCCTCGCAGTGCTTTAAAATGAATAGAATATAATAAATAAATAAAATTAAGTTAAAAACATTGGATATAAATCAATTTCGTGACAAATTTCTTCAATGTAGAAAGCTATTTCCTTTTTGAGCTATACAGAATTAAGGCTCCTTTAAGTTTTTCAAACACATATCAATTCTAATGTGATATTGCATGTTTGCACGATAAATAACAAGCATGCACATACACACATCATAAAGAGGGCGAGTGAATCACTGCCGACCTATAAGACTACGGCTTTCCGGTCCCAGAGGCTCATGCTCCTCATATCTGAGATATACATCAGCTTAGCGAAGATAATAACACTCATTAGCATGGTGATGTAGTGGATTATGCCATCATATACAGTACATTTGGCATACTGCAGAAAAAAAGACGTTTTTATTAAAGGGACAGTTCATCCAAAAGTTAATTCTCTAAATTATTTTAATAATTATAAATCATTTCACTTGATAAGACCCTTATTCATCGTCTGGTGTCGTTTAAAGCTGCACTGAAACTCTCATTTGGACCTTGAACCGTTTGGACCCCATTGAAGTCCATTATATGGAGAAAATCCTGCATGTTTTCATCAAAAACCTTCATTTCTATTCGACTGAAGAAAGAAAGACGTGGACATCTTGGATGACATGGGGGTGAGTAAATTATCAGCAAAAGTTTTTTTTAAAAGTGAACTACTCCTTTAGCTAATTAAATGCACAAATTCACATTAAAGCTCTTAAAAATAAAGGTACCAAAAGGGGTTATTTTTCCGAAGCGATTCTTTTGAAGAACCATGTTTGGTTCCCCAAAAGAAATAAGTGTGAGGAACATTTTAACCTTTTCCCAAAGATTCAATTTAGATTTGTTGATTTTGAAGAGTGTAAAGAGTCTAGACTAACATTATAAGTGGACTTCACGGACACTTATCAGGAGTTTCGATCAGGATGCCCATTTAAGATTCATTAATTGTTCATGTTACACTTTTGTGCGCCTCAAATGTTCAACCAATACGATATGGTAAATCTGAAACGGTTACGAGCGGAGATGATCCTATAGCTCTCAATCCCCCTCTCTCGCCCATACGGATCAATGATAAAGCTGATCTGGGCTCAGCTGCAGGAGTCTCTGATAGGCCATCATAACTAAGCTGATCACTGAGCTGTGATTGAAATACAGACAGATCAGACAGATCTTAAAGAACAGAGGTCAGGATGTCTGAGATTCAGCAGAGGCACCTGGCCATGTGCATAGCTGGAGGAAATCTCCCATAATGCAACAGTGTTCTCTGTTTTTATCTTCTGCACTTTTTACTTTTTAAGGCCAAGAAATGCAGCAAGAAATAATTCAATATCGCAACAGTGTGATTAAACACTTATTATAGTTATTAGTTAACTAAAACTATAACAATTAAAAAGCATTTGTTACTTGAAATTAAATATATATATATATATATTAAAAAATATTACATTAAATTTATTAAATAAAAAATAAAATACAATACATTTTATTTAGTATAACTTCATTATTGTAAACTAAACTAAAACAAAAACTTTTTTGTTAATTGAAATGAAGCTGAAATAAAATAAATATTAGATGAAATACGTAAACCAAACGAAAAATTTTAATTTAGCCTTGGCAACTATAAGTTTAAAAAAATTAAGATTTCTAACAATAAATAAATAAAATCTAAAATTAATACTAAAAAAAAAATCTAAAAAGTTTTTTAATGACAAAAGTACATAAAAAAATTATAATCATTTATTAAATTAAATGTATTAAATACAAAATAAAATAAATTTCATTTAGTTTAACTTGCATTAATAAAATGTATTACTATAACATATATATATATATATATATATATAAAATTTCAGTATCGGCTGAGAAATTTAGTATCGGTGCATCTTTAAATGAAACCTAAATAGTAATATTTAAAAAAAAATAATAAAAACGACAAAAGCACATAATAAAATTACAAAAAATTAAAACAATTAAAATGTGAAAAAGTACATTCAAAATGGGGGTGGGGATATTACTCTTTGTGTTTGTTAACTTTTGTTGTTCTTATAAAAGTAATAAAAACAATATTGAGAAAGTTCATTCAAAATATTAATAAAAACTACAATAGTATATATCATACTCAAATTAAATACCACTGGTACTTAGGCTCTAAATAAAGCAAAGAAACCACATCAACATCTAACATCTTGCATAGGGAGTTTTACACTAAAAAGGAGAAAAAAACACCATAAAACATCATATGGACTTTCTATATGACTGTGTGATCTTCCCATTCTTCTGAACGCATGATAGATTTGTTACACTGAATCTCATGTCATTATTAACTGAAAATCTGCCATAATATCATGAGGATTAGTAAATAATCATACTAAAATTAATTTTATTAGTTTCAACACTGCTGTCACGTCCTAATGTACTCATTAGCTAAACTAGCTCACATTTCATGCTTATTTAACACTAAAATCAGCCATTTTCTCGTAAACGCTCTCTTTAAATCACTTTGAGGGCAATAATAGGTGATGCTTTCTTTAAGGGGGTAAAGGTGAGACGAGTCTGGTGTGAGATTGCATCACAGAGTCTTCAGGATCAGGTTGACCTGTTGACAAGACATCCGGTGACACAGAGAGGACTCTTCTTTAGTTACTGAGATCCACACGGCATCAGCTGTGATTAACACACGGCTCATGACATGTAGCATCCAGAACATGTTAGGAGTTTGTTCAGATCACTCCACTAAGGCTGTGTTTACACTGGCACAAACAAAATTCACCACACACATTTTTTACTCGCATTAGGCAGAGATCGAAATTTGTCGCACGTTCATTCAAAGGATTTCCATTATGTGTCTAAAAGCCTAAATTTAATCTGTTCATCATATAAAGTGAGCGAGTCTCTTTAGAAAATGTGGACTAAACCGCTCAATTTATATGGATTTGTTTTACGATCTCTTTATGAACTTTTTGAAACTTCAAAGTGGTATAGCTGTCAATGGAGGAACATATGGAAGCTTGTTTCCGTCACTGATTTAAAAAAATTAACAAATAATTGCGACTTTTTATCTCACAATTGCAAGAAGTCACAATTGTGAAAAATAAAGTGTGAGATATTAAGTTGCAATTCTGAGAAATAAAGTTGCAATTGTGAGATATGAGGTTGCAATTCTGAGAAATAAAGTAGCAATTATTAGAAATAAAGTTGCAATTCTGAGAAATAAAGTCACAATTGCGAGATAAAATCACAATTATAAGAAATAAAGTCGCAATTGCGAGATAAAGTCACAATTCTGAGAAATAAAGATGCAATTGCAAGGAAAAAAGACAAAATTGAGACTTTACCTCACAATTCTGACTTTTTTTCTCACAATTGCATCTTTACATCTCAAAATTCTGACATCTTTTCTCAGAATTGTGAGATATAAACTCACAATTGCGAGTAATCAGGCCAATTCTAAGGGGAAAAAAACTTTTTTCCCCTCAGAATAGTTTATATCTCACAATTCTGAGTTTATAACACCCAATTGCGACTTTATATCAATCAATTCTGACTTTATATCTCACAATTCTGACTTTATATCTCGCAATTGTGAGAAAAAAAGACCAAATTGTGAGATAAGAAGTTGCTATTACCTTTTTTTATTTTTCAAGCTTCCACAGGAACAGAAAGCTCTCAAAATTTCATCAAAACGATTTTCATGTGTGTTCTGAAGATAAACGAAAGTCTGACGGATAGGGAACGACGTGGAAACGGATGGGAAGCGAAATCTAGTGGAAGCGTTTGCAAAGCGTCACACTTGCAAAATGCACATCACAACGTGGGACAATGACTTCCTAAAATGACTGAGTTAGAATGATAAAGGTATGATTAAAAACTAGGGCTGTGAAACGATTAATCACATCCAAAATAAAAGTGTTTACATACTGTAATTATTTTGTACATAAATACACACGCATGCTTGTAAATATTTCAGAAAAATGTGTAATTTATATGACATATACAGTATACACATAAAATATTTTTTAAATATATGCATGCATGTGTATGTATACACTACACACTTTTATTTTGGATGCAATTAATTCACAGCCCAATTAAAAACCCTTTTAAGCTTCACATGTACAAATGCTGTATCCGTTCAGGTGTTCAGGTGTGCTGTACTCACACGAGGAAGTGATACATGAAGCACCTCAGGCCGGCGGGTCTCTCTAGGAAGTTGTACACATCGCCCTGCATGCTAGTCTTGGTGTGGTAGGGGCTGCGCGTGTAGCGGGCGTTGGGGACGCTGGAGATGGAGACGGGCTGGAAGCGCTCGCTGTGCGCCGGTGGGTCCTTTGTGAAGCCACCCGGAGCGACGGATGCGCTTGATCCATTATTCACCGCGGGCTCCGGTTCCAGTGAAACAGGAGAGCGGGACGCTGCTGCCTCCTCCAGGCTGTGGGTCGAGCTCGGCACCGAGAACTCGTGGCCGTTGTGGCCGAAGGTCTTCAGCTTGATGCTGTTGCTGGAGGTGGACCATCCGAACGCACGGCCACGGGACAAAAGAGGGGTTGTGCGGGCCAGTCTCTCCCCCATGGTGGTTCCAGTGGGTGGAAAGTGATGAATCTGTCACAGTAAGCCAATGCGATCTATATCTGCCATGCTAACAAACCTGTGAAGGGAGAACAAATGGGGAACGCATTAAAGTCCTCCTGTAGACCTTTAAAACTCATCTTTGATAGTTTGAAAGTTTTTTTCCTTTTTATATATAATAATAAAACAGGTTGAATGTAACTTAACCTGATTATTGAGATTGTTTATACTTTTTGAGGAACAAAAAAAAAGGAGTAAATGGATTTTTTTCAGTGTATGCTCTTAGAACAAACGGTTGGGTAAGTTACTCTAAAAAAGTAATTAATTACTAGTTACTAATTACCTCTTCAACAATGTAATTAGATTACTGTACTAATTACTCTCTTTAAAAAGTATTTAATTACTAATTACTTTCAAAATCCCATTTCAATCTCATCCAGCTGCAAAATACAAGGATAGACATGAATCTGTTTTAATTCTTTCAAATAAATACTATAAAATTGCATGAATTATCCTTAAACTGACCACGGTGGAGAAGGTTACATTATAAAAACATACTTTTTAACATCAGACAATACATTTTGATGTTAAACCCACTATTGTTTTATGTCTGATCTCATGACATTTCACACTTTTTCATACATATTTTACAATAATTCATACAAATTTGTACGAGTGCGAGTGTTGTACAATTTAGACACCTCATAAAATGCATACGAATCGCTGTGAGATCGGATTGATCCATACACAGTATTTATTTACCTCAATTACATCAGAAGTAACTGTAATTAAATTACAGATAAATTAAGAGTAATCCCTTACTTTACATTTTCAATGGAAAAGTAATTAAATTACAGTAACTAATTACTTAGTAATTAGTTACACCCAACACTGGTTCTATATATGTAGCATAGGGTTCTTTACTCAACTCCAAAGGACATTTTATGCTAAAAAAAGGTTCGATAATGACAAGAAAGAACACTTTTGGCACAAACGTTCGTTAAAGGCTATTATTCATTGATATATTACATTATTCTGCAATATTTTGTAGTTGTTATTAAATTATTGTTTATTAAACTTAATATCACATTTTAATCGATAAAAACTGAAATGGCACTCTTTGGGTGATATTGATTACTTACATTTTTAACCACCATATCTTGAATTTTGTGATCATTCACGTGCATTGCATTTTAGGGGTTCCAAATACGTAACGCTTTAGAACCTTTAAAGGTTCTACAGTGATGTGAATAAGTTTGGACACCGATGCTAAAGTTGCCTAAAAAGAGGAATAAAAAATCATCTTTTGGATATTGATCTCAATGCCTTAATTAGAAAAATGAGGAAAACTCCAACCTTTAAGCACACCAATTTTCTTTGTGAATGAATAATGTATCATGAATAAAGAAATGTTTTTCCTTAAAATACAGGGTGCATAAGTCAGGGCACCCCTATGTTAAATTCCCATAGAGTCAGGCAGATTTTTATTTTTAAAAGCCAGTTATTTCATGGATCCAGGATAATATGCATCCTGATAAAGTTCCCTTTGCCTTTGGAATTAAAATATCCCCACATCATCACCTTCCACCACACCTAGAGATTGGCATGGGGTACTTTCCATAAGATCATCTTTCAATGCAAATCAAACCAGCTATTAGGCTAACTGAAGTAAAACCATGCCAATCTCTAGGTGTGGTGGAAGGTGATGATGTGGGGATATTTTAATTCCAAAGGCCAAGGGAACTTTATCAGGATGCATATTATCCTGGATCCATGAAATAACTGGCTTTTAAAAATAAAAATCTGCCTGACTCTATGGGAATTTAACATAGGGGTGCCCTGACTTATGCACCCTGTATTTTAAGGAAAAACATTTATTTATTTATGATACATTATTCATTCACAAAGAAAATTTGTGTCCTTAAAGGTGGGAGTTTTCCTCATTTTTCTAATGAAGGCATTAAGATCAATATCCAAAAGATGATTTTTTTTATTCCTCTTTTTAGGCAACTTTAGCATCAGTCTCCAAACTTATTCACATCACTTCTTCTAAGAGTCTATGGTGGTTGTCCACACACTGCAAAGACACATTTATATGCAGACACCATATAAAAGTGAATTTTGCATCTCATTACCCCTTTAAGGAGCAAATACTCGACTTATGAATTTACACATGGTTTGTCTTAAAGCAGATCATAGACATATATGTCTATACATAACACCATAAAGACATATAAACAACATTAAAAGCATGGAAATGTCCCAGGTTGAATTGAACACATCGGTTTCCACATTTTAAGATTGTTTACTGTCTCCGTTGCTTGGTGATCTTGTGTATTTGGTTGCGTTTGATTGAGCACCAGTTGTTGGGAAGTCACATGTGTCACTCCAGGTCTGCGGGTTTAAATTAGGAGCAGCTTAGATCATCTTAGACGGGTTAATATTGCATGAGGATGAGCTGAAGATCACCAGACACATCCACAATCATCCACTGACAGACACCACGAGACCAATACCTGAAAGTGCTGAATAAAATATTCAATGTGACTGAAGTCTTCCTCACGGAGCAGCGAGGAAGAGTGGGAAAACACCCTCATGATGAGGCCAGACTCTCATGAGATCTCTATCATCAGATGATGGCCAGTGGATGGACACACAAAGCCACTGGAAAAAGCTTTGTGAGCGAAGACAAATCGAAACAGGACCCTGCCATCCTCTGTGCATGTCTGTCAGTCGCTGACAGCACCCGTGAACACTGCGCCGTCAGCTATAGTTTCAGATGACCGCTTTAAGCTCACGATGTCAAGAGACAGAAAACACTCACAGTCAGAGTGTGTCGAGAGGATTTACTGGACAGAGAGATAAACACACACACACACACTCATTCATTTCTGCAGCAAACACAAATGCAGCAAATGAATGAAACCTGTCAAATTACTTCTTATAATAATTTCTTACAAATTTCTTGTAATTTATGTAGCCAAATTGATATGATATATATATATATATATATATATATATATATATTCTGTGAAATCGTTTACTCGCATCTAACACACATATGCACATATTTACAAACTTTTATCCGCAATTAATCGTTTTGACAGCACTACTGTTTGTGTATACCGGTATATACAGTTACAATATGCAAAAACAATATTGATTATAGTGCAAAAATGACAAATCTGGGAATATCATACATTTCTATGCTTATTTTGTGGGCAGAAATTGTGTTTCTTCGTGTTAATTTTAAAAACAGAAATAGACTTTTATTTATTTTGTATATTACTTTTTTATTCGTGGCCTATTTAATTCACAAAATGCACATCGTCTTGGAATATTTAACATTTCCTATATTCCATATCTATAGACACTACACATTTTAACTGTGAAATATCATAAATCATACACACATCAAGCTTAAAAGAAATCATTTCAATTTGTCAACACAACTTTAAAGACTAAAATAAGGGGAAAGAACTTTAATATCAACAATACCTCCTCAAGCAGGGCTCCTGATGTCTCTCGTGCAGTTCTTCGTCATCATCTTCGTCGCGGAGATGACGAGGAGATAGATGTGCTTCAGTTGTTTTTATCAGTCTGTGATGCTGTGAGTGAAACACATGTGGCGATATGCAATTCATGATGAGAGCGCGCGCACACTTGTCGGCCGCGCGCGTCATCGACTTCTGTCAAGCAGTGGTTCACACAGATTACCCTTTTGAAATATTTTATAATAAATATTTAGAAACCTACGTTTCTGCGCTGCCCTCACTAACACATCCAAAGAGGATTATACCACATTATTCTCTTTAAATACACTTGCTACACTGACTCGATTTTTAACAAACAAAATATTTTTAAACTAAATAGAAGGTGTCGGGAGACGCCATTCGCCACGTTCAATTTACTAAAATATAAATAAAATATTCACAAAATATTTTTATATTCACAAAATACTTTTAAACTTAATAGAAGGTGTCGGGAGACGCCATTCGCCACGGTCGAGTCAGTTGACGCTTCAAGTCTCCGTAGTTGTTTAAAACGCAAATAATGCGTTTCAATTGATATGTTTCAGTATTACTAGCTCTTTTGTCTTTCCTATTAGTTTATAGTCCCTCAAAGTTACACTTAAACCTGGTTCTGAATTAAAAGCAGAGAGTTTTTTTAATATCAATGCGCACACAAACAAACACTCTCACGCTTGTCCCTCAGATCTTTTTAGCTTCGCTTTCTTTGCGTTCCTCCGAGCCGCCGTAGTCACACCGCAGGTTTTCCCATCATGGCTGCGTCTATCACTCACCCTGCGCTGTCCTCCTTATGCAAAATAAACTGTAATATTAATGGCATATATAGTTTAATTTCATTAAGCAGGGGGATTTCAATCTCCTCTGTCCTCTCAACAAGCGCCGTGGCCACAGAAAGAGGTAAAGATAGCATGATCTGTTATTTTATCTATTTACAGTATTAAGGAGAGTGTGTGTATATATGTTTGTCAGTGAATAATATTTATGTTAGTGTATGTATGTATATATATATATATATATATATATATATATATATATACACACACATCAAGTAGCCTATGTATGTGTGTTTATGTACGTATCATTGTACATATATATATATATATATATATATATATATATATTCAGCATCTAGTATATATTAAAGCACTGTGGAATTATCATTTGACGTTTGTCTTTATACCATAACAATTGCGTTAATTGCTTAATTATTGATATCCAAGTATGTGGTTTTTTATAACCTAGTATTACGTCACTTACAGCAATATTTGCTTGCTGTATTTTTGTATGAGGTTAATGTTTGGATTTCAGCCCTCATTGAATGTGTGATTACAGAAGCTGCAGGCAGAGGTGGTCGGCGTCAGTGGAAGTCAAAGAGACAGGTGGACTATTACACTTCGCCTCAACACAACCGTAATACAGTGTGTTTGCGTTCTGGTCTATGATTTCGCAAAGCAGATGAATAATGTTATTGATAATGAAACACAGGCTGGAGAGCCCAGGACGGAGCGGATGGCCGTGGATCAGGACTGGAGCGCGGTTTACCCCACTGCCGCCTCATTCAAAGCGTCCGCCGTTCCCCTGCCGGTGCGGATGGGATATCCCGTGAAGAGAGGCGTACCGCCTGCCAAGAAGGGCAATCTGGAACTGATCAAGGTGAACACATACACAAGCAGACATGTAATAACATATTTATTTGTTATTCCATCCTTTATGCATTTTGATGTATATGCACAGCGCCACGGCATAATTATAAGATCTAAAACGCCTTGATTCAATCTGTAAAATATAAAAGCTTTATTTAATCTATCATGTGAACGCATGTATGTGTTGCATCACGAAAATCTGTCTTAAACAGAAAATTATTTGACAATCTTATTGTGAACTGATGCTAACTGGACCTGCAATGAGTTTTTCATATTTTTATTGCCTAACCTGGTCAAAGTGACCCTACATATTCAATTAAACAATCAAAATATGAGGAAAATATTTTTTAAATATGAGGGAAGAACAAAACATTAAACTTGGTTGGCAAAAAAAACATGCGGCTACAGCTTGCAATGCACAAAAAAATAGTTAGAATAAAACACATATTGATGACAACATATTTATTTTTTCATTCATAATCTCTGTGTATGACAGTCAAAAATTCTGCTTGGCATGTTTCGTTGTGCTATCACAAATAAAACATTTAAATAAAGGGTGAGGATGTCGATTTTCCTTTGACCTCTTGTAATACAGCACTTTTTTAATCGCATGCTCCAATGTCTTTCAGATTCCAAACTTTTTACACTTAACCCCGGCTGCCATTAAGAAGCACTGTGAGGCCCTGAAGCGTGAGTGGTGAAATGAGTGGTTAAATTTAGTCATGCTGTGGCTAAATGAAAGCAAGATTTGTAAATGTGTTCCCTGTTGAATTTGTCCAGCGTTCTGTACGGAGTGGCCGTCTGCACTGGACTCTGATGAGAAATGCATGAAGCACTTCCCGATCCGGGTGCAGAATAAGGAGTTTGTGTCCGCCGGACTGTCGCTGCGAAACCCAGACGCACGGATAGTGACACTGAAGGTCAATTTTTATTTTATGAAGAATATCTTCCAAATCAGAATTGTTTGATTGAAATTTATAAAGCGGCGCTGGTTCTGAATTCGTTTTTTTTTTTTATTCATTTTTCCCACACGCATTCAAAAAGTCTTTGTTAAAGTGTTATAAGCCATGAACCAAAAACGTTTTTGAAAATTAGACAGAATGTACAAGACTGTGTACTTGATGGATTAAGTGAGGGAAAGAACTACAATCCCATGAAGCATTGCGAACTGCATAATCAAATTCAACTACTCGTTTAAAAATGTTGATATAGATTTAAGTTTAATGCAAAATATGCATATACAAACATTTAAAGGTGTAGTTCACTTTAAAAAAAAAAACTTTTGCTGATAATTTACTCACCCCCATGTCATCCAAGATGTCAATGTCTTTCTTTCTTCAGTCGAAAAGAAATTAAGGTTTTTGATGAAAACATTCCAGGATTTTCTCCATATAATGGACTTCAATGGGGTCCAAATGAGAGTTTCGGTGCAAACTGTGCAAAGGGCTTTAAACGACACCAGACGATGAATAAGGGTCTTATCAAGCGAAACATGTCTGTCAAGCAAAGGCTTTGGCAAATATATTTTTTGTTCAAAAACTGTGATTTTCAGAAATAAATGACAAAAATCGAATTTCTGTTTCTGTGAAATTCTCTATATAATATATTGTATATTTTTCACTCATACTTCCTTTATAAACACATTACATGCATGCTTATGTTAGCTTAGGGTCTTCTGAATCCATAGACACCAAACACATAGTGTTCCATCTCCATTAGCCTAGATATAGTTTAGAGCCAGACCGATATTATCGGCCGATATTAGGCATTTTCCATAATATCGGTATCAGCAGTTATAATGGCCGATAAATAAATATTTAAAAAATAAAATAAAAACGGACGAAACACGCTTTAATCATCTCTCCTTGGCCTGTTATATTGAAAATGTATGTTTTACAATTTGCAGTATGATGTTATCTATTGCTAATCATACCACAAAGCAAGCTAACGCCACTATCATCAGTGGAAGAGCGCTAATGTTAACATTAATGAGCTTGGAAACCACAATGAACTTTTTTCTGCCTAAATAAAGTAATGATTACTGTATTTATAACTAGCATATCTCTAGTTACCGTCCCTGCAGTGTAAAATGTAAGTTATACCTGCGAGGAGTGAACATTTAGACATAGAGAAAAAGTATCAAACGTATCTTGTGCAGAAAAGTTAGCTTTTCTTTTACACGTGTGTGAAATCCAACAATATTTAATAAAAAAAATATATATCGGCCGATATATCGGATTTTAAAACCCAAAAATATTTGTATCAGTATCGGCCTTCAAAATTCTTTATCAGTCGGGCTCTAATATAGTTTATAAGCCCAAATGTAAAAAAGGGTTAAGGAACACCACGTCACTTAAAGACATGCTTACCTCATTGATTTTGATATATTTTCCTATTTATAATCTGAAATGTTATTTATATCAAATCTCTCACCATCTGCCTGGAAAACCATTAGATTATGACTGCAGTGCTGGAATCGCCATCTGACGTTAATCCTGTTGGATTAGAGCTGGGGATCAAAGGGCAGATATATACGGGATGAGTGTCCGGGTGGGAAAAGTCCTTGCTTGTCTGAAACAGCAGGAAAACCCCAGATAAACAGTGATATTGCTTTGTGCGCTAGTGTGCGTTAGAGCTTAGTGACATCACCATGTGTCAAGTCTGATCCCATTGGCCGATCCGGAGCGGGATTTAAAGGGCAGAGTTGTGCAAAATAGTTTTTTGATGGTTAGTTGTTTTGAACAATAAGATTTAGTAGATTTAGTTTAGTTCGGCTGACTGGAGGAAGGCCAAGTGAATATGATTGCTGGAGAAATGCTGAAGATGTGGATTAAGTGATTCGTGGACGTCGTCCTTCAATGAACCTTTCCTACATAACTGTGCTAGATTCATATCTCTCTCCAAACTGTGCTATTTCTTCTCACATAATGCACTAATTAAGCATTTAATATCCATGAATGTAGCCGGATCGGTTTATTTTGAGATACAGGCCATCTGTACATTATCCCTCGTGTTTTTAACTGGTGTTTTAATTAGGTGAAGCTCTCCAGCCTAAATCTGGATGATCACGCCCGAAAGAAGATGATCAAACTCAGCGATGAGCGCTACTGTAAAGACACGGACACGCTCACCATCACCGCAGACAGGTTGGTGATGTGGAAATATATTGTGTGTTGTATTTTATTTTCCTCATTTCTCAATCACAGGTTATCTTTAAAATGCATCTTTTCATGCATGTTTTTAGTTGCCCGCTGCGAGCGCAGAATTATGATTACGCCATGTACCTCCTCACCGTGCTTTACCACGAGTCCTGGGTGAGTCTGCAATCCTCCACACTAGATCAGATGCACCTGTGCTTTATGAGCTGTCGTGGTCCAGTCCGGTTAAGGTCATATCCTGTCAGAATTTTTCAAAACAAGTGAAAAGTTTGAATATGGTGCAAAAGTTCAGTAATTCAAGGTGAAACTAATATATTAAATAGACTCATTACATGCTAAGTGAGATATTTCAATATTTTTAAGTAAATTAATTTTTGCACGATATTCTAATTTTTCGAGTTTCACCCGTATGTGAATCTCTAAAAAAAACTGTGGAGAAATACCTAGTTCATATTTCAAAGGACAATTTTAAGAAAATTAAGCCTATTAACATATGATTCATCTTAAGATCTGATCTGTTTAATTGTCAATATTTGTTTGTTTTTTAAGATTGTTATCATTGGTCACCATTGACATAATTTGCTGTTGTTCAAAGTTATGTTTGGAATGGTAAATGATAAATGATGAACTGTGCCTTTAAGCATGAGCTGTTATAATGATGATGCTTGGCACTAATCACTACTGATCATTATGGCGTTTTTATCAGTACATTAAATGGTTTACAGTCCGCATTCAACACATGAATATTTCACATGTCTATTGTGCCTCTTATGAAAGTTTCAGTGAGGGCCCGGGGTGGTTTTCCATGACTTAGGCCCCCCGAGGGCCCACATGAAGCGATAGGATGGGGGGGGGAGAGATGTTTTCCTAATTCTACTCAACTCTGATGTTT